ATCGCGGTTGGTCAGTGGCAGTTACCATGAAAATAAAGTAAGTGTTGTCATGGAAATGGCGTAATAGCCGCCATGTTTTCGGCTTCACTTGATGATGCCGAGCAGGTCCTCCAGTAATATAGTATAGCTCAGTGGGTCTTACCCCTGGGTAAAAATATAGTAGCTCAATTTACCCAGTGTATTAGCATTTATTGTGTTTTTATTAACTTATTTTAGGAAGAAGTTTCTGTATCATCACAAGAGCTTGGCCATTGACCTATTTGGCTGGTTATGAACTCATGATAAGATCTTTGTATCGAAAAAGCAAAAATTGTTCCAGGTGGCACTCCCAGAGGCCAGAGAAACAAAGAAATTCAAGCCTTGATGTTTCAATGCGAACTGTAACAGAGGACAATGAGTACATTTAATCGTTGTGGTGGCCTAAATGGAAGTTAGTGAGTTAGTTTTTAGTAAGCACACGAATAGAGACAAGTTCACTTGTCTCCCAATGGACAAAATAGTGAATGAAGTTTTGGCTTCTTCCCTTGTGAAAAGCTTGTGGTGCAATATTATTGCAAATTATGATATGGAAACCTCTAAAGAATGTCAGTCCCTGTGTTTAGAAAATATTGTAAAGTTATATGTTACTGTTAGATGTTTTTCATTTGCCAAAGATAAGTGTAAATAATATGTGACTATGAAGTGATGTAATTAATCAATATTAAATGTATTCCTTGAACCCTTTTGCCACCAAAGAAGTACATTAGTTCTAGGGTATTGAAAAACCATAACCAGTCACTGTCACACATGGTATGTGACACATTTGAAGTGCATGATCACATGATCTACTGAAATCTAGCAGGTTTCTAATTAGCAATCCAACCTGAGGTTTATAAATATTTGATGTTTGGATGATTTTTATAGTTTAATTAATTTTATGATGATAATTTTATGATAGATGTATTTTGTATGATTCTCGTAAGTAAAGGAGTCCAATATAGTTAATTAAAAATCTTCTAAATTTTATGAGATTTTAGCACGTCATGTGACAAGCATCTACCAGGGTCTTTTCTCCCCAAAAGAAAAGATCCTGGATGCAAGGTTGGTCGAGACATTGTTACTAAAATATTTATTGCAACTGAATGCTAAATGTAAATACTTTTAGTAGGTTTTAATTGTAAATATTTATATAGTGATGAAAAAATATGTACACTAATTCACTACTACATTTCAGTTTAATTAATTAAAGGGTATTATTATGGAGTAAATCTAGCATTATTTGAAAGAGATACACTTAAATACTTATTGGATAGGAATGAATATTTATGCACATATCAACGGCCTGCCCGGGGGGTACACCCCCGGGACAACCGGGGGGTAATTTGGTATTTTAGCCGTGTATTCTGCCCGTGAACCCCGGGGGAAATTACAAACTTCGCAATAATAGGATGACGGGGGGAGGGGAAGTAGGGGACTTTGATGTGACAATTTGAATTTTATAAATGAAGTGAACAATTGGTGCGAACTCAAAAATCGCAGGCTCACAGAGAAAAATATTGATCGCCAACTTATTATTTATGATATTTTGTAGTGGTCTTGCTAAAATTTGAATAAATAAATACAGAATACATTGTGATACCACAGTTTGTATGATAATTTCAGGGTGTTAGCCAGAAAAAAAACGTTTTGTCCGTTCAACGTAAATTGAGAAAAATTTTTTGGACCGATCAAAGTCATTGTGTAGGAATAAATAGTGTTTTTCCAACGTGTTTCTTCTTAGATGCAAACAACAGTGGCTTGAGCACAGATGCACACCGATGGAGGCACTTTGTTTTGTACATTTCATTTCAGTGAATACACACCCAATATGAATGAAACGCGAAACATTTTGAGAAAATAGTTAATGGAAAGCCCCTTAACTACTTCAATTGGGAAGAGTCCGTCAAATGGACGGACAGTATATGGGCTAGCTAACACCCTGAATCTTTAATTGTTTGTATGCCATTTGTATTATGAACTACTTTATTCTAAGCCCCAGGGGGAGGGCAGTTTGACTTACACATTTCCCGGGGGAGGGAGGGGGAATTAATGCATTAGAATCATGTTTTTTCAATGTCTCGGGGTGTCCCGGGGGTGTACCCCCAGGGCAGGCTGTTGATATGTGCATTAGCACTCCTTGTGAAGTGCTACATCACTTTTCACTGTGGTCAGCTTATAAGCAATCCTCCCCAAACTGATTCAGGGACAAAATATTGCTGTTAAAGCCAATCATAATGAAGCGTAATCTTACTAATATACTGTAGCACATACTTCATGGGAGTGGTAATAGACCTTAAAAGTGCTTATATCACACAATTTTGAATCAATATAAACATTAGGTATATTTTGTCCTGCATGTTTCCCACATTGCATTGCAATTTATTGTTTAGCACTGATATGACTTATTCTCTAAATTTAACCCTTTAAGTGGCAATGTACCCAGATGCACCCTACTTTATTATTTTACTCTGTCTATTACAGTAATGCCAGATGATTTTACTCGTAGCACTGTGCACAATACTAGTACCTTCATAAGAAATGTTCAATATGTCTACAGACTACAATAGTTCTCGCTTGTACTATTGTTTTCATAACATGTTCAAGATCACTATTTCTTGATTGTTTTTTTGTTCTTTTTGGGCAATGACTCCTCACTGACATTACACATTTACACCACTTGCTTCGCTTTAATACCAGTATGCCGTCCAGAATTGAAACATTTCCTTGAATTAATTGTCAGCTGCTGTTGGGGTTTACAGTAAAATATCATTCCTTCTCCCTTGTGCTCGCTGGTATTAAACCGAAATACTCTTAAACATCATCCTGGTAGAACCGTTCTGTGAGCACAAACTCAAATCCTTCGCTCAACAAAAACCTTGTCAGGGCAACAACTGAATTTACAGTCTCTTTAATTGATAGTCCAGTAAAGGTTTGGGCAATCTTATTACTGCCTGGTTTTGCCTGGTAGATATAAGTTGTTCTCGCGTTATTGCCTCTTTCGCACAGTTTTAACTGATTGCTTACGAAAAAAATAAGAATACACGTACGACAATCAATGTATTTCAATCTTGGGATGTTTCTCGAAAACATGCAGCTCGCCTTTACGTTAAAACCTTTGTCCATATGTCGATTCTTTGTAATTATGTTTCCTAACCAAGCCTCTCGAGCTCTAGTTGATAATTCGTCTTTGCCAGACGGAATTCGAAAGATTCCGAGCCCAACATGCTTTCTGCTTGTTCCACAACCAAATATTGAGCAATTGGCTCGAGGCATTGTAAAAAAATCGCCAAACCAACAGCTTTTTTCGCTTTGCATGTCCTGGTAATTCGACACTCATTGTATAGAATTACTATGGCCATTGTTTACGATCTTGCACGCAATGCACTATATGTTCCGGATTTTACTACATCCCGGGCGTTCTTTGTCAGTGCCCGCGATCACAATTAGAATTACCAGCGGTTGAGTTCGCAACTCAATATTCAAACATTTTCAACCAGATAAAAAAAAATTAAAACTTTTTTAAAGCACTTTAGATTTTATACCGATCCCAAACACTAACCGGCCTAACTTATAAGAGTTAAAAAAGGAAGGAAGAAAAAAATTACAAAAAATTGAGAAAAAGAGCTAAATCAGATAATAAATGTTCGGCATCGATCCCGACCCCGACTGCGTTTCACTTTCGTTTCACTTTACCAGCCTCGTACCCAGGCGCAAATAACGTACTAAAAATTAGCAACACTACAGTGTTTTTATATAGATCAGTGGCTAAGAGAGCGAGCGCGCGGGGGTGCTAGGTCAACACACGACGGGATTCTGCTGCGCCTGGCAGAAAATGTAAATATGATTCTTCAGAAATACGATATCTGAAGAATCGAACCATTCAGCTTTTTACTCGTGCCTTTTCAATTATTTTTGGCGTTTTTGGTGCTGAATATTATATTTATATGTGCTTATGGGTGACCTGGAACAATCGCTGAAGGAATTATCAAGAAATGAGTGTTAGAGGTGAGTGTTTGTATTGGTTTGCCTTGAGATTTCATTATTCTCTGTATATTATGTGTGCATCATTGTATAAATCTTGGTCAAGATGACTACAAGAAGTAGGACAGGTTTCATATTTTAAAAGAATTTGTAAGCTGCCCACAAAAGGAGAAAGAATAATTTCAACCAGGGATGCACCTTTAATAATTTAACACCAGAATCAAAGGCCCATGTCGAGTTCCAGCCAAAGAGATTTGCTGATCAAATGTCTTTATACTAATTTAATATACTATACAATTCTAAAAGTTGTAAATACTTGAATAGTTTATTTTCAGCAAACAATCACTGAATTGATACAGAACCCAGTAGTGCTGTCACTACTATGACTACTGCTTGATACATGTATATTAAATTGGCCATGAAGTGATTTGAATATTTTTGTTTTTCAGTGTATTGTGTGCAGTTTGACATTTGTCACTGATGTTCTTGAATTCCAAAAGATTTTCAACTACATGTGATATGAATATAGATATAATATTATATTTGCAACCCATGAAATGTATATTTTCTCTGTAGCTGGTACAGTTCAACATAGCACAATTTGATTGAGTAAAAGACTTTCTGAGGGTGCCTCTGGCAGCCACCTTATGGAGGGTGAGTTAGAGGCTAATCCCAAGCCACCCGTCAACATTCCCTCTATAGAAAACTGGAGTTCCCGGAGAAAACCCACAACTTTTGTCAGAGTGTTGACAGCATGACTCTTTTCACATTTAAGTGTCATTGAAGTGGTGAGAATTGAACCAACAATCTCAGATGTAAAAAGTCCTCGCTCTAACAATTGCACTACCAAAGTCGGTGGCACAATCAGCACGCCACCATAGCCCCAGTAGGGTGCAGTGGAACTTGATGGGCTAAGCTGTTAATTTGTGCCAATGAACCTAGCTTGTTGAGAAGTTCAGCTGTGGGTGAGTGCATGGGTTTATAAATAAAAACCCACAAGAGTATTAAATTTGCATAAATATTGCTAGTTCTAGCTAGATTCCTTTGAATGTAAATACTAGTACTTTATGTTATGAGCAAAATAAATAAAATTCTCAAGACTTTAAATGTTACAGGGGTTGTTGTTTGCATAGTATGTTGATGAGGTATATCTCATTCAGTCAAGTTGTGTAAAACATATGCCCGTTCTAACTTGGCTGAACCAATGACCATATACAGGATTTAGGAACAAGCACCGAAACAACTGGGATAGGTCTTGTTGTTGTCCAAGCACTTTACTGGGACCTACCCTGAGTGACCTGAAATGGTTTCAGGTGAAGAATTTGGGGTGGCTAACCCTGTAGTATATACATGTTTGGATTGTTTAATCCCGAGACCAATTTCCATGACAACAGGGTAAATCATGTAATGTGTGTATATTTAATGTTGACACATATTTTCAGTGAGACCATCAGATGATGTTTGCCACATATTTTTCAAATATCGTTGATTATTAACATGCATCTGAAATCAGCCCAATTGTCCAGTTTTTTAGACACTGTCCTGTAACTAGGTGTCAAATGCATTATATGTGGCCACAGGTAAGTCCAGAGTCTACCCCACTCCTTAGTGTAAACATGGTAGATTTTGGCAATCAAGGGCAATAGCCTTTATAGGTCAAATGCAAGGTGAAGAACAAAATACACATCAACGTATAAAACACTGGGTTAGTTTGTGCTTTAGCCTTTAAACTTAATGTCAGCCAGTTACAACAATAGCTAAATGGCCAAAACAGGTTTTATATTATTAAATTTATTAAATGTTCATATATTCACTGATATTTTGCATACTATAAAGCAGTCATGCATATAGGCCTTTTTATTGGTAAAATTTTAGGAACTAAGAAACCTACAATAAAATATTTTCTAGTTATAAATTTTCTCCTCTGAGGTAAAAGGTATCATCAGTACAAATAAATAGTAATTTCAACATTCCATATAAATTCAATGTATTATTAAAATATTTATATTAAAATTAAAAGATTCAAGAATAAGACAGTTTCTTTGCTTTGCTTGGTCAGTTTCTCTTTCAAACCGCAAAAAGGCAGTATATTTCATGATGTGCATCCAACACCAGACATATATTTTCAACCATTTGAAATAAATCGTTATTTTTTTTAGAATGTTCAATAATCTCGAGTTCTCTCATGACCAGCAGACTTTCTAATTTCGAGAGGCTGGTCTCCTGAGGAGACCTTTAATTAAAATACCGTTTTCGAGGAAAAATCCTTATTATCAACGCAGTGATCATTTGGACATAAAATCTTTCCCAAATGTACCGCTCGTTAGGCAAGCCTTTCAATTTCATTTATATAGTACAGCAATTTCCTTCTTTGCATTCTCATGTCCGCCATGTTTGTTACAAATTCTGCCAGGCGCCTCGCTTCCCAAGTCCTCCCCAAGCACCCCCGCGCGCTCGCTCAGCCACTGATCTATATAAAAAAACTGTAGTGTTGCTGTTTTTTAGTACGTTATTTGCGCCTGGGTACGAGGCTGGGATGTGACCATAGGTTCAGCTTTCTTTTCATCAAGAGTGGAAAGAGATGGTCCAGGATAGCAATATCGATGAACAGGTGCAATCTGTTCTTTTTGGTCATTCATACCATACCTCTTCTCCCCAATATAAAAGCTATAGCCTCTCCGAGAAGCAATCGTTGCAAGAGATTGGCAGAAGCTGTAGAGAGTTGGCCAGTTTTGCCAATTGGTTACAGGGTAAGGTTGGCGTAACTGTTCGGTTAAAAATGCATCAACTTCCTGATACATTAGATGACTCGAATCAACCATTCCTGATGCTATAAACTGCTGTAACCAGTGTCCCAAATAATCATTTCCAATAATTAACTGAAGGGGCAGTTATAACTATGCTTCTGATTTACTATATTTCAATTGTAAATAATTTAAAATGCTCACCTTATCTAATGCAAAGAGGGGATGAATGTTTATGAACAAATGTCAATATCAAGTTGCACATGTGTAAATGCTTGTGCAGAGCCTCGTTTTTGTTATTGAGATACAAGGTTTAGAACAGTGACAACACAATTACGAAATCACGCAGTTTTTTTCATTGAATATTATCTGTTTATGATTATATCACCATGAAGCCAATGTTGCAATCATGAAACGAAACTCCATAGCCATAATCAGGTACTTCCCGGAAGGGCGTATAAAGTGCTAATTAAGTACGATTAGCAAATATAAAACTAATTGTGTTTTTCCGAAACTAGTGTCCATGATAATAACACAATTATAACTTCTTATTAACCGAACGCGAGGTCTGTACCTAGAAATATCGAACCGAGGTTTTTTTGTGCAGACCGAGCACGTAGGGCGAGGTTTGTACAAAAAGATCCGAGGTCCGATATTTCTCTGTACATACCGAGCAAGTGAGGTTAATAAAAAGTTTATTATATGGCATTTATGGGCATTTATACTTGAAACAAACAAGAAATGCATGATTTTAAATGCATATTAGTAGCGTGGTACACATTTGGTCGAAGAAAACAAAAAATACCGATGATTTCCCTCTTTAATCGCTGCTTAATACATGTTTATTTTGAAGTCTGCTATTTTGCGAGTTGCGATCGTCCATGTATAAGCCCCCCGTATATAACACCCCCCCTGTATAAGCCCATCAAAAATCGCTTACGAAAGCGATTCAGGGCTTATAGTCGGAGGTTTACGGTATTAGATTTATATTTGCTGAAACTATCAGCCGATAAAGGATTCAAGTACAATTAGGTCACGTCATAGATATCTTGTATACACTAGATAGTGCTAATTATTCTGCAATTCAAAAATTGAAGCCACGATTGCAGAATCAGGATATTCCCATGAAATGAGAAGACTCGTACTGTATGTTTTCTATTTCTTAAACAGGGAACTTAAACATTAAGTTAAACCTATTCCAAATACATTTTCAAACTATTTAAATGATGAAAGTTATTGTTGTTTTTTAAGCGTTTATTAGCGAGTGGGAACTACCAACATGGCCACCATCTATTCAAAGGGGTATAACCGCTGGAATATTCTTGGCTTCAATTTTACTAAAAGAGATGCGCGCTATCTAGTGTATATAAGATATCTATGGGTCACGCACATTTCACAACAAGTGTTCATTAACATTCATCCACGTGTTCACTCAATTAGGAAACTTGATGCTGATAATACAAAACTTAATAATGTATCGAAACATAATTTAAACTGCCCCTTCATCAATGCCACGGGCCAGAACTGCTGCTCTGACCATTGGTTTTGAAATTATGACCGAATGATTTTCAAATAAATCTGGAATGAGTTTTGCCACATTATTCAGCTGCACCTCAGTGACAAAGTTATTTTCCTTCCATGCTTGAAATCGTTTAATAGCAATTTCACGTGCAGATGGCAGTGAGTTACCTTTGCACTCCTTAATATGGGCTACTATTTCCTGCGGTTGGTTCATTTTTGACAGAACTCGAATTTCTCCACAAAGAGGACACAGGATTTGAAACGGATTAAGGACATAATGTTTACTCCCCCAGGCTTTCTCGATTCCATTTTGGACCTTGTCAAATTCCAAAAGGAATCTTGGGTCGTTATTTATGATTTCGGAGCATTTTCTGCTCCATATAGCATTAATGCAACCTCTTTTTCTTTTTCCTTGGTCATCGTGCAGACCTATCTCGCGTTTGATTTGTTCTGATACAACTTCTTTGTTTCAAACATTTCTGTTGCCAACTGGCATAGTTATGCCCCCTGCAGAATGCGATTTCAGCTCCACTTTTAATTTGGAAAAGTTTGGGAGCAAGCGATATGCATTTGCAAATCCCTCATCGTCATCCCCTTCTATCTCAATTCGCATATCTCTGCTTTGTGGAAGAGTGTATGTAATTGAAAAGTATCCTACCTTCAATTTGAAAAGTCTACCAATCTTTTCCATCAATTCTTTGCTTTTCATATTCTTTTGGACACTGATCAATTTGTACATTTTGGAACAGGACGTTTCCAAACTCCACATCTTGCTGTCTGGAAGAGCTGCCAAAAAGGAAAATAGATATTTACTTATAGGAGTTACACATTCTGATGCTGAAGCAGTTGTTCAGACCTTAGTCAAAAGTCTAAAAGTGTCTTTTGAAGCAGAGATGTTAACAAGTCTAGTCACAAGCCATTCATTTGGAGTAGCAAGTCAAGAAACAAAACTAAACAAGTCGTGTTGTACATATTCTTAAATTTAATATACTACACGTTCAGACACGAAAATAAAGTTTTAATAAAACTATTTAACTCAATTTTTGTGTTATTAATATAACTTAAGTTAACCTACACCATACACAACACCACACAGTCGTACAATTGCACAACATTGATTATGCAACGCGCGGCTATATTAATAAACAACTTAATGCGAGTACTCAAAGCTTTCACGTGGACGATTTAGTTTCAGGAACTTAACTTATCTTTAAAATCTTAACGAGATTAGCATTAATTAAGATGAGGCAGGTTGTATAAAAAAGTGATTAAAGTTAACTATATGATTAAGTGCAAACGTCATGCAATGAGAAGCGCCTATTTGAGAGTTAATCACTATTTAATTACAAATTAGTGATTAAAAAAGTGATTAATTAAGAGTTTTATACAACCGGCCCCAGGTACGTAAGTGGAAAACAAATGTGACACTTTAATAAGAAAACGCAATAGCTGCAGCGCATTGGCAATTCAGAAAATATATCAAAACAAAACGAAAGCGCCGCCGATAGTGATTCGAGCCAGGAAAAACGACTCTAGGGCGAGAAAAACCCCCGAGAGATACCGACAAAGGTTTAGGCTAGGCTTGGAATACTAATCGTGATATAATTAGCGCAGCAGGAAGTTTAAGGCTGCAGGCTTTTTGACATTACATTGTTCGATGTTATGAGACTGGGATCCGGAGCAGGCACTGTTCAAGGTTTCTATATAGACTCCTAGCCCAAACGTATCTACTTTATTTTTATTTTTTATGTAAATAATGGTATATTACATGGGCAAATCATTAAATTAAATTAAATTAAGTATATTAGGTGTAATATTTACTAGTATAAATTGATATGCTTTTTAGCACTGAGCAGATCGAGATGATTATTGCCGGCTTTTAGAAACGCATGCAAAACCAAAGACAAACTTTTCATATCGGTGTCATGTTCGTTTATTAAATGACGCGTATTATTAAAATAATCATTGAAGGGGTTTTATAGATGGAATTTTCGAGTGGTAGATTATATGGAACGAAAGTTGTATAAACTTTCCCTTGGTTTTTGCATCTAGAAAACCCCTGCAACTGTTTAATAGCCCTACCGAGCAAGCCCCTCCCCCCGCAAAAGAAATCATCGACAAAATTATGCATGCATGGAGATCTTCGTCGCGCATGGCAAACCTGTCATTCTGGTAACAGACAGAGTATTTTCAGAGAATTTTCATAGGGTGGTACATATAAATATCTGGTCATATAATCATTCGGCATTAAAAATGTGAATATATTATTATTCATGCCAGACGTGCCAAAACCGGGCAACTACGAGACTACGAACGATTTACATTAATAAAGCAAAGAAGATACTGTTCCCGTTTCCCATATTCAAACTTATTAATTGTGATGTGTTAAAACATGACTCTTCTATTTGAATATTTGCCGATTTAATTAGCGCGGGCAGATAATCTTATTTCCGTTCAGACATTATTTCTATTCACTTGATACTGGCAACATCAAAAATTTCTTCCCATCCTAAAAAAATATCGCATGCGTATTTTCCCTTCCATTTACTGTAGTTCGCGCACATGTATATATTTCGAGTTTTTGACTAATACGCTGCAGAGTACAGAAGTTGTCTGAAAATGTGCACGTGCAAATTTGCGAGTGACAGTATCATATTACTCGCCCTGAAATTTCGACGGTTCGAGCGAATGCCCTTGGTCGGAAAGTTAGTAGCATATAACTTTCGTCGGAAAGTTAGTAGCATATAAAAGTCTTCGGATTTTTGGGCATCTCACTATTGAACTATAAACGTTGAAGGGTTTTTGTAGATGGAAAGTGCAAATGTAAATTTTATACAGCCATACATTACACTAAGGTCAATGTATAAAATTTTATTTACACTCGACATATTTCGGAGTTGACGGAGGATCGTGCTAGATTCTATAACATATATGCTAAAGTTTTAATAATACTGTTTTAGCTTTTGAACTTTATTGAACTTTATTTATTATTGAACTTTATTGAACTTTGACACTGGGTACTGTCGTACTGATTTTTGTGTCCGCTTTACGGGTTTGACTAATTGACTGTATGGGCGAAAAATCGCTCAAATCAAATGACAACTAAATATCAGTTAAATTCACTTAATTATTTAGTTTATTGTTTGACAAACAACTATGCTTGCAAAAAGACCATGCAGTGGTGCAGTGCGAAATCATTCCACAATGGCTGTATATAAAGCACAACATACAATAAATGTTTGAAACTTTTTGTTTCAGCTGCCTGTTATATGATTTGGTGGCCTACGGCTACGTTATAGTCATAGACTAGGATTCGTCGCTGCAATTATATCCAGGCGCAGAACGCCTCACTCGAGCTGTGTTCATACCGAAAGGCTAGGGCCATAATTTTTCTAAGGTTACTTGGCTGATTAAAATCTTTGACGAATCAGCAACGACTTCGCCAAAGCCAGGCAAAGCCAATCGTAAGCACGAAATTGGATGGTGAGTACGAAAAGTATGAAAACTATTCCACTTTAATGTTTTTATATTATGTAATTAACAGAGCCATTTTGTAAACCTATTTTGTATTCTATTATGCCCACGCTGTGTCGCATTTCGCTACGCCATTTCGTATTTCGTTATACATGTAAGGCCTACTCTGGGACCTTAACTCGCCCTAACTCGCCTTATCTCGCCCTATCTCGCAATAGAAATTGATCAAATTTTGCTTAACTCGCCCAATCTCGCCTTATCTCGCAATGAGAAGTTGACTGAATTTTGCTTAACTCGCCTAAACTCGCCCTATTTTGCAATAAAAACCGGCACAGTTTCACGTCAGTAAAACACAAATACTGTCAATCAAAATTCTTTAGACTCACAATACTCACTTATATATTCTATGAGTTTGGCATTGCAACTGACATCAACATACAAGTGTGTAAGCCTGATTATCTGAAATGTTATCATATTTTTAATTTACTACATTCTCTGTAATGCCATAAAGCTGTATTGATCAAATAATTCCACCAACTACTCTACTTTAATACAGTATAAAGCAGGCCTTAGCAGGCATACTGTATACAGTAATACCCAGTATTTAATAAATCACAGTGAAAATAATTGAACATAATAACAGAACCCAAACTGCCAAGTATGGTTGAAAATTAATATTCCCATATATACTAATATACAGATCACTTATCTATTCTATTTCAACTATACAATGATATCAAAACATCAAAAGTACTTGCTTAGCTTTTATGCAGCTATCACATGACTATCAAATTTTACTAAAATACTGTTATACTTATAGTATAAAGGTCTCTGTGATATCAACAGCTCAAACTGCAAAGTTATTCGTTGAACTGTTTTTATATACAACCGGCAACAGAGCTACTGAACCAACGATACGCGCAGAATTTTAGGAGAAATATTTTAATACACAATCACATTCACAAAATTCGTGAAAATATAGATTTACAGTAAAAGCAAAGTTAAAGGTGAATATTGTAGTAAACATACCGTGCTTGCCTGTCTGTGACCAACATTAAATTTAGTAGAAACAATCTGTAGTGACAAGGCTTTTTGAATCTCATTTTAATATCATAATAAACTTTAAAATGTCGATGCATATCCCGCCATATTGCGTTTGCGGAATCGAATGATTCTGACTTATAGACTGCGTAGACCCCCCCCCCCCCGACCGCAGAGGAATTACGCGATGATGGGAAGGAAGATTCTGTTTATCAGGGGGGCGGGATGCTGTCTGGGAACAGATATTGAAAATATTGCTCCCTTCAGCGGAAAAATTACAATCTGCTTGCAATACTTAGTGTTAGTGTTAATGAGAGGCAGTGAATTCTGAATATAAAAGCTTGATAGGAAATAGGAATATATATTATTAAACAATAATACAGTTTTATACAGAGGAATCATTGTCATTTACATTCATTTACGTTTCCAAAGCAAGTAAGTTGGGCATTAATTTTAGTATTATGACCGTTGGTTATCATTTAATATATCATTGTGGTTCGAAATTTCGTTAATTAAAATAGTTATTAAAGTGCTAAATTTAATAGTAAATAATCTATAATTTCCTAGCAAGCTTTTTAGTTTCTCTTTGTTTCATATCAATGTTTATATTAAATTAAATTAAAAATTGAATACAAGGACTGCTGCTTGCAAACAAATTCGAACCTAATTGATAATGTCATGATTCATGAAAACAGCTAAAAATTACAAAATATGTGGTGAAGCTAGTCATAGCAAGTTAGCAACTGATACTGTGAAGATTTAGGAAACAATGCAGTTCTATACACACTATGCATAATGCCTCAAATTATACAATTTGGCATCTGGCTACCAGCCTCGTTTTGATGCAACTTGTTTCCAGGTCCCGAGTTATTGTGCATATCATGTATGTATTGTAGAATATAGAATAAAACACTTTTCTAGGCCTGCTACTTCAAGTACTGCATACTTGCTTTGCATAATGCACAAACAAAGCAAAATACATAGTGTGTATACAATATCCAGATTTTTCCTTAACTCGCCTTATCTCGCCTTAACTCGCAAGGGTCAGTAGCCAGATTTTTCCTTAACTCGCCCTATCTCGCCTTAACTCGCATAGGCTCGCCTTATCTCGCGGCGAGTTAAGGTCCCAGAGCAGGCCTCATGTACATGCATATAAAGTCTGTAAAACTTTAATACTGTGTAATTAAGGGCCCCAAACCGCGAACAAACACTAAGTAAAACATTTTGAACAGGGTGTTAAACCTACAGGATTCTAAGTTGAAGATAATTTTAAATTTACTATACATTCAAAAGTATAAAAACATGGACACCTTTTTCAGAATCCTGCCTAAGGCAATTCAGCTAGAGGCCATTCATGCAGTTGTTGAGCTCTACAATATAATCGCATGTTCATGTATACTGATTACTGAGTGTAGCTATATGATAATATGTACTATGTCTATGCTAAGGTGATGCTACTGTAAGGTGTATAGATAAATATCTGGATTTTTGTGTATCACTTAGTCTCAGTCTGGTGCATGAATTTTGATTTAGCACAGCCACTGCTTCACGAAGTAAACTTATGTTTTCTTCATTCCTGGGGCTGGTTGTATAAAACTCTTAATCACTTTTTAATCACTATTTTGTAGTTAAATAGTGATTAACTCTCAAATACGCGCTTCTTATTGGATGACGTTTCCACTAACTATAGTTAACTTTAACCACTTTTTTATACAACCAGCCCCTGTTGATTTACAAAATTAGCGGCAGTGTTTTTGTTCCACAAAAATAATTTCCTTCCTGTGTGCTAAAAAGTGTCACTGAGTCTGAGAGTCATGCAGCATATGACCTATAAGCTATAACTTATAAGCATAATGAAAACCAAACAGCATAGAACGCAAAACAGCATAATGAAATACAAAACGGAACATGAAACGAAATACGAGACACGGAAACAACATAATAGAATACCAAATAGGTTTACAAAATTTTTTTGTTAATTATGTAAAGTTGAATTATGGCGGAAAACACCGCTCATAGAAAAATACAATAGCCTACATCACAGACAGATACCTATACATCACAGACTGGTAGAATCTAGCTCGATTCAGTTTTTACCCTTGCTTGGTAAAATGTGAGGTGTTATAATTTGGAATAGAATTACCGAGTATATGCATTTACAAAAGAATATGATTTATCTTGGTATTCCTTCAAATGAGCCAAAATGATGTTTCGCTGACATTAGACGCAAAGAAATTATAATTACACAATAATAAATTTAATATAGAAGATAAACTTACATGTTGCCGCGTCTTTTGGAACTTCTACGAAACTCTGTGACTGCAAGTTTGTCGAAGAGTCTTGAATGTCAACAACAGTTGAGCTAGCGAGCGTGGGTAGATCTGAACTGTATTTGGACCCTTCACTTTCATCGATAATATTCAGGTCGTGTTTTCGACTGTGACTCGTTGTTTGGCTGCACTTCGTTGACCGACTGCGCCTCGATGATCGGCTGTGGCTCGTAGATCGGCTGCGCCTCGTTGACCGGCTGCGACTTCTTGAGCGGCTGCGGGAAGAGTTCCTCGACCGCGATTCCCTTCTAGAGGCCCGACGCCTTTGACCATGATGGTGTTTCTTTGTATTTGGGCTTGTTGAGCGATGCCTCCGTCTCCTCTTGGGTATCTTTTCTTTGCTGTAACTATTAAATACAACCATAGTATAACTTATTTAGTTTTATGTGTGACACAGATAAATATTTTACATAATAGGTGCAAGGGGGAAATATAAATACAAAGTCATTAATGATATCCTTACCTAGATGAATCCGATGGATCACTGACACTGCTATTTCTTTCACGACTATAATGTCGATATCGATAACGCCGATGGCTTTTATTTTTGCTGGACCCTCTCCCGCTATGCCTTGATCCAGAATCACTAGCGCTGTGTGCTAATTTTCTTTCGTCGTCAGAACTCTTTATACTGCGCGCACGATGGTGATCTTTTTTTTTGTGCTTTGACTTCCACGAAGCCACGGAGTCTTCGTCCGAAATCATTTTTTGCGCACTTAGCGTAGTATACTAGCTCGTTGGTTTGAATAAATCACATGTTTCAATGTTTGGTGAACTAACAGACAAGACAACGTTGTTCAGGCAACTCTGCAATGCCGAGTGTATCCTATGACATGGGCCACAGGCAGACATTTAGTATACTCAGAAATATGATGCCTGCGTGACGAAAACAGACGAATTAAGGGCTTTCATGACGTAGTTTCTGGTGTTGCTATCAAAGCCCCAGCTCGTCCGCAGAGGTTGAGAGGTTTGAATTCCAACTTTCTGTAAATTCCGCGAGTTTTAGCGCCATGACCATGTAAAGTTCATGTAAAGCACTGTGGAAAAAACACAAGAGGTCCCTGCAGAGGAGAGTCAGGGCCGTACGCAACAGGGACAACTCAGTTCCCGACCCTGGTGAAAAACAGATGCCCTGATGCCAATGACGGTTTATACAAGCAGCTTGGTCTTGTTGTGTGAATTATGCATATTTTGTGTCAAAAAATTGCCTTTTCACCCGTATTCCTCTAACTACCCTGCGTCGCAACGTACGGGTCATATTTAAACTTATTATTCGTACTTGCTGAACAATTGGATTTTAAGCCGTCGCGGCAATTATAATTAAATTGAGAGTTCAAAATTTAAATATATAATTTTGATAAATTTATCCTCAAAGATTCGGTGTAATTAGGCTGACCTTTAACAATGAACTTTCATGAACTTTCCGACCAAATTCCGAACCAACACGACGTTGTTCCGACGATTATAAAAATAAGGCCTGCGATATACTTTTGTTTTAAACCGCTGAATATATATTTTCACGAGGTGTTTTATAAAACTACAATCAAAATTACAGTCAATTACTCAATTCATTTATTAGCTAGTAACCGAAAATTGAAAGGTGTTTGATGGCTATGAATTTTATTTTATGCCCAAGAAGCAAATTCGCACCCAAGTTCAAATATTAAAGAAGAAAATACAGGAACGAGGGGGGGTTATTAGTAACCTACAACGTGACACGACAACCCACATTGTTTATGCAAGGGGAGCACGTCGCGAAATTCTCGCTGTAAATAAGGAGTGTACACCACAGCAATACCATTTACGTGTTGATTGGATAGCAGAATGCTTAAAGAAGGGCTCGCAGGTTCCCTATGAAGGCTTCCACGTGGTGAGTGTGTTTTAAATATTATGCGGTGTCTTTTAATACATCAAAGCGAATATTTGTGTATTCAGCACTTTACTATAACACAGGATTTTTCCTCGTATTTTTCAGCAATTGACTTCGGAGGATGAGACCCTCGCAAGTTCCTGATAATGAACCCACATCCAAAAGGCAAAAAACAAAGCCAGAAGGTCAGTTTACAAGTTACACCAAATATTATTCATGATTAAACTTTGCTGCCTTGTAAAATCCAACTTATCGCAACAGACAACAGTGATTTAATTGAAAGTGATAACTATGCCTTGATATTGTTGTAGGGGGGGGGGGGGGGGGG